TGTATATGTGCTTTCTTGAGCAGAGGGACCTTGCGGGCACTGCAGGATTTCAGACCTTCACGGCGTAGTGTGTTACCAATTGTTTTCTTGGTGACTATGGTCCCAGCTGCCTTGAGATCATTGACAAGATCCTCCCGTGTAGTTCTGGGCTGATTCCTCACCGTTCTCATGATCATTGCAACTCCACGAGGTGAGATCTTGCATGGAGCCCCAGGCCGAGGGAGATTGACAGTTATTTTGTGTTTCTTCCATTTGCGAATAATCGCACCAACTGTTGTCACCTTCTCACCAAACTGCTTGGCAATGGTCGTATAGCCCATTCCAGCCTTGTGTAGGTCTACAATCTTGTCCCTGACATCCTTGGAGAGCTCTTTGGTGTTGGCCATGGTGGAGAGTTTGGAATCTGATTGATTGATTGCTTCTGTGGACAGGTGTCTTTTATACAGGTAACAAGCTGAGATTAGGAGCACTCCCTTTAAGAGTGTGCTCCTAATCTCAGCTCGTTACCTGTATAAAAGACACCTGGGAGCCAGACATCTTTCTGATTGAGAGGGGGTCAAATACTTATTTCCCTCATTAAAATGCAAATCAATTTATAACATTTTTGACATGCGTTTTTCTGGATTTTTTTGTTGTTATTCTGTCTCTCACTGTTCAAATAAACCTACCATTAAAATTATAGACTGATCATTTCTTTGTCAGTGGGCAAACATACAAAATCAGCAGGGGATCAAATACTTTTTTCCCCCTCACTGTATATATATATATATATATATATATATATATATATATATATATATATATATATATATACACACACACACAGTATGTGACAACTGCGATTGAAAAAGGCCTTCTGACATTGTCAAATCAATACAAAAGAACATATCAGTTGATGGCACAAACATTTTGAGGATTATGCTCCCCAAAGTCATCTCCCATCGTTAATCCAAAAGTAAACACGCATTCTCAAGGTACAGTACAAATACAGACTAGCCAATGATCAAGATAACCCTTATTTTACTAAATATAACAGCATGCTAAATAGCTCTAGAATTAGCTAGAGTTCAAATGATTAGAATCCTCACTATACAGGTTTCGTCGACTTGCTTGCATACTGTGTCGGATGGAAGATAGTCAGTTGAAAAATCGTAGGCCGAACCGTTAAGGCCAATGAACCGTTAACATAGTCTGTATATATATATGGCTTTCATTGGCACAAAATGCAGTAGCTTTCAGGGCCAGTGCAATCAGTTGAACTGAGCAATGCAATCAGTAGCCATTTCACATAAGACCAAGTGTGGACCAATTCGGTTTCTTCTTTCGAGGTCCTTTGGTTGTCTTTAGCAGTAGAGGTTTAGGGTTGCAAAATTCTGAAAATATTCCCAAAATCCGTAATCCTCCAACCAGGATTTCTGGAAAACGTGGGAATTTTGGGAAAGTTACTGGAATTTTGCAAACCTAGGTTTAAGTTAAGTTCCCATGTCTTTGTAGTTCTACGTCTTTATTATTTGAGCTGCCTACGTAACACTTTGCAGCGTCTCCCAATAATGTATTTGTCACGTGTCACTCTCAGATCACGCTACATTCCAGTTAAATCAAGGTGATCAAAATGTACATGTTGGAAAACACTGAACGCTACTCTCTGCAACCCAGATGTTTCACCTCATGAAAACACAAGGTATGGGATTTAAGCAAAGGCAAGGAAGAAATGAACTGGTACTACAGTTTCAAGAGGGAGCAGAATAAAATTCTGAGACAGGATTGATCTGATATCCAACTCACTTAGGGCTGGTTTCCCAGACACAGATTATGCCTAGTTTATCACTAAGAAACACCTTTTTTTTTTAGCCTTTTAATCCAGGACTAGGGTTAAAGGTGAAATTTGCAGTAGGGGAAACAGCGCCACTGTCTGCCCCCCAGCCGTTGTTCTGGTTTTTCTTTTGTTGACGAGGCAGAGCTGGGGAGTGTCCCTCCGCTTTATCAACAAAACAAAAACAATAACAGCGGCTGTGGTGAAAAAACATACATATGCTGATGTTCTATCACACGTGCAATGATGTCCAAGGGGGAAAAAACTGGGTTTGTTGTTTGCAGTAACTTCTTTGTCGTAATATCACAAACGGCCGTGGCAGTTTCAACAGGATTCCAGCCCTTAATGTTTGTTGCTTGGAGATGTATTAGTTACAGTAGATCACTAATACATGCATTCAACTGGCTGAGGTTAGATGGCAGCATTGACTGTATGGACATCATACATACACCTAATGTCCTCCAGACCCCTTGAAATAGTCCTAGGCCCTGTTCGGATATCTATAAAATGCATCCTTCCTACCTTCCTCCCTTACTTGAGGTAATCACTGATCTGTAAGTGAATGGATTGGTGAAGACATGGTTTCCACTCCATTGCTTTCACCAATGTTACTGTGTTAGATCAGTGATACCTGCGAGGAAAGAAGGGTGCATTTTCAAACTGGGCACTAGAACCCAAAATGACAACACTGCCCCCTGCAGGTCCCTCTCATTGTCAGTTCAGAACACCAATCACTCTAACCCTTTTCACACTACTGAGCTTAGCCGAGCTGTCCCAGCCTGGTTTCACATCCACCATAGTGGTATGGTTCGGGACAGTACAGTATGGGTCAGCACAATAGTGTAAAAAATAGATATATTTCCCCACCCGTCTTTCTGCCTGTGAAGATTGTGGCAATGTTACGATTTATACGGGATTTCACAAGTCCAGGGGCTTTCTAATCATTATCATTAAACATATTGTTACTTAATTAGCAATAAATATTAAGTCGTGTTTCATTACATAAGTACTGATCATTGGGGCATAAGATAATACAAAAAGCCACCTAAATCCCAATATAAGGATAAAAGGGGTTATTATCTAAAGATGCATAGCTTCTAGTGCCAGATGTAGGGATTGAATTGACCCACACACAGGAATTCACACAGCATTTACCTCATTGTGCACTTTTGCAATCCTTCATATTTGATTGGCTCTCAGTACCCTGCTTTACTTAATGTCCATATTTTACAGTAAAAAAAAAAAAAACGCATTAAAAAGGAATGCATTTAAGAATTCAAGTTTTGGGTCCTCAATTAGCCTTTTACAATATGTTTCTAATGATTGTACAACTGAGTCACAATAATCTCAGGGTGATTGCACACAAAAAAAATAGGACTGTGTTCAATAGGCACCCAATGGAATAAAACGGACTGAAAAAGGCATGGACAACGTGGGCTTATCCAATAACAAATGCTAATTTTCATTTTCTGTTGCAAAACATTTTTTAACGTTATGCCCTAATGAACATGACCCAAGACCATTTGAACTAATGGGGAGTCTGTATTAACACCCAGTTTGCTTGACGTCAGTTCTATGGGTATACAATGCTGTCATCCGATACATTTAATGTGAAACTGGCTGGGAGCTTCACAACTTACAGTTTTATTGACAGAGGAAGAAATAAGCAGCATCTTGGCCGTATAGACAACAAAACAAAGTGAGAGTTGAAGAGACCTGGAGGAAGCAGCACTTGAGAATACTGGAGAGAGAAAGAGAGGAGGAAATAGACAAAGAAATGGAGAGAGAGAGAGAGACACAGAGAAAGAGACAGCGAGAGAGAGAGAGAAGGAGAGCAGACAGACAGAGGAGACAGAAGAGAGAGACAGCGAGATAGAGAGAGAGAGAGAGAGAGAGAGAGAGAGAATAGACAAAGACAAGAGACGAGACAGAGAGACAGAGAGAGAGAGACAGCAGAGAAGAGAGACAGCGGAAGAGAGAGAGAGAGAGAGAAGAGAGAGAAAGAGAAGAGAGCAAGAGAGAACAGAGAGAGACAGCGACAGAGAGAGGAGACAGACGAGAGAGAGAGAGAGCAAAAGCTGAAGGAGAAAGACAGGGAGAGACAGGGCTCTCTCGCTCTCTCTCTGGTCAAAAGTAGTGCACTTTGTAGGTAATGGGGTGCCATTTTGGACATACAAGAGAGAGGGAAAATAGACGGACATTCCTTTGGCACCGGTGCTACGTTGGCAGTGCTCTGCAAGAGGAGAGGAGGTGGAGAGGTCAGATGCTGTGGCGCTAGGGCCGCTTGCAAACTCCCCCTTGTGGATTCCAACAATGGGGGAGACTTCCTCTAGTCTAGCCAATGCTTACACTAATCCAATGCTTGACAGGCAGTGCACAGGTGCACACTTTGGGAAAAGTTTGAAGGAATCCGGGCACATCCTTTGATGAGAAGGGGACGAGGTCAAAACAGGCCCATCTCACTATCCTCCGTCCTTCCTTAGGACACTTCAGGTGGAAATTTCTCATAGCTACAGATCTAGGATCAGCTTCCCCTCCCCCGATCTGAACCATTAGTGGAGAAAATGCTAAACTGACCCAAAATCCGCGTCCAGGGGCAACTGCACCCTACTCCTCCTTAGGACACTCACCATCTTTCCTCCACAGATCTGGGATAAGCACCTTTCGCATCAGTCCAACCCTCAACCACTACGACAGTCCCCACAAAACCTGTCTCTGTAGCTCCAGGTTAGAAATCACTCATAACAACAGATCTAGAATCAGCTCCCCTTTTCTTCCCCACTCCTAAACCATCCTTAACCGTTGTCCATTACAGGGGGGAAATAACACAAACCTGACCCATGATCAGCGGAGGGCGGTGGGCAGGGTGCAGTGAGCGGTGGGCAGGGGGGTGCAGTGAGGGGTGGGCAGTGGGGTGCAGTGAGGGGTGGGCAGTGGGGGCGCAGTGAGCGGTGGGCAGGGGGGTGCAGTGAGGGGTGGGCAGGGGGGTGCAGTGAGGGGTGGGCAGTGGGGTGCAGTGAGGGGTGGGCAGTGGGGCGCAGTGAGCGGTGGGCAGGGGGGTGCAGTGAGGGGTGGGCAGTGACATTGGTGGGCATTGGGCAGGTGTGGGCATTAGGCGGGGGGCATTGGTGGGGCAAGTCCATCCATGAGGTCCAGTATGGGGGGGGTCCGATGTCCCTGAGACCTATAGGTTCTCCCCAGGCTGGTACTGGGGCTCGGTGGAGGTGAAGTAGTCTTCCAGGAAGCCCTGCAGGTACTCGAAGGTGGGCCGTTCCTCGGCGTCCTTCCTCCAGCAGGTGAGCATGAGCTCGTGCATGGAGCCTGGGCAGTCAGCAGGGCAGGGCATCCGGTAGCCACGCTCCACCTGATCCAACACCTCCCGGTTCACCATGCCTGAAGACGGCGTATGGAGGATATATATAGAGAGAGAGCGAGCGAGCGATAGAGCGAGAACACGTTAGACAGTGTTTTTCTATAACACTTTTGAACAGCATATGATTCCACTAGCAAATCAAACAATAGCTGAAAAGAACATAGCATTCAATCCAACACCCCTCCTCTAATTTATATTAGAAATAAGCACACAGAAAAAATACCAACCCTTCACTTCCTTCTAAGTGCAATTGTATGCGACCGCTCATCTTGGACGACTGTTTAGTCAAAGTATACTATATAAAGTTGAAGTCGGAAGTTTAGCCAAATACATTTAAACTCCGTTTTTCACAATTCCTGACTTTTAATCCTAGTAAAAATTCCCTGTCTTACGTCAGTTAGGATCACCACTTTATTTTAAGAATGTGAAATGTCAGAATAATAGTAGAGAGAATGATTTATTTCAGCTTTTATTTCTTTCATCACATTCCCAGTGGGTCATAAGTTTACATACACTCAATTAGTATTTGGTAGCATTGCCTTTCAATTGTTTAACTTGGGTCAAACGTTTTGGGTAGCCTTCCACAAGCTTCGCACATTAAGTTGGATTTTGGGCCATTCCACCTGACAGAGCTGGTGTAACTGAGTCAGGTTTGTAGGCCTCCTTGCTCGCACACGCCTTTTCAGTTCTGCCACAAATGTTCTATAGGATTGAGGTCAGGGCTTTGTGATGGCCACTCCAATACCTTGACTTTGTTGTCCTTAAGCCATTTTGCCACAACTTTGGAAGTATGCTTGGGGTCATTGTCCATTTGGAAGACCCATTTGCGACCAAGCTTTACCTTCCTGACTGATGTCTTGAGATGTTGCTTCAATATATCCACATCATTTTCCTTCCTCATGATGCCATCTATTTTGCGAAGTGCACCAGTCCCTCCTGCAGCAAAGCACCCCCACAGCATGATGCTGCCACCCCATACTTCACGTTTGGGATGGTGTTCTTCGGCTTGCAAGCATCCCCCCTTTTTCCTCCAAACATAACGATGGTCATTATGGCCAAACAGTTCTATTTTTGTTTCATCAGACCAGAGGACATTTCTCCAAAAAGTATGATCTTTGTCCCCATGTGCAGTTGTAAACCGTAGTCTGGCTTTTTTATGGCGGTTTTGGAGCAGTGGCTTCTTCCTTGCTGAGCGGCCTTTCAGGTTATGTCGATATAGGACTCGTTTTACTGTGGATATAGATACTTTTGTACCTGTTTCCTCCAGCATCTTCACAAGGTCCTTTGCTGTTGTTCTGGGATTGATTTGCACTTTTCACACCAAAGTACGTTCATCTCTAGGAGACAGAACGCGTCACCTTCCTGAGCGGTATGACGGCTGCGTGGTCCTATGGTGTTTAGACTTGCGTAACTATTGTTTGTACAGATGAACGTGGTACCTTCAGGAGTTTGGAAATTGCTCCCAAGGATGAACCGGACTTGAGGTCTACAATTTGTTTTCTGAGGTCTTGGCTGATTTCTTATGATTTTCCCATTATGTTTGAAGGTAGGCCTTGAAATACATCCACAGGTACACCTCCAATTGACTCAAATTATGTCAATTAGCCTATCAGAAGCTTCTAAAGCCATGACATCATTTTCTGGAACCCACTGGAATTGTGATACAGTGAATTATAAGTGAAATAATCTGTCTGTAAACAATTGTTGGAAAAATTACTTGTGTTATGCACAAAGTAGATGTCCTAACCGACTTGTGGAGTGGTTGAAAAACGAGTTTTAAAGACTCCAACCTAAGTGTATGTAAACTTCCGACTTCAACTGTATACAACCCTGAAGAAAGCATTGTGTGTCAACACGTTGGCGTTTTATATCTATTGTTGGGAGCACAGAGTGTGCAACTACTTGTATGAATGTTTCATGGAGGAAAGACTACGTTACCTGGATATGGTACTCTGCCTTTGGTGGCCAGTTCAGTGAGCAGGACCCCGAATGACCAGACATCTGACTTGATTGTGAAGCGTCCGTAGAGTGCAGCCTCTGGCGCCGTCCACTTAATGGGGAACTTGGCTCCTGGGGAAACAAAAAACCTGATTGACGACACACTCTGATAAAAGACCATGGTAGCCAAAATGTCACTGCTTTTAACTAGAATACATCAATACAAGTCTATTTTCCTAAAACAAGGCTAGAGTTGAGCCTCTCTACAGTCTGCCGAATGGAAAACCTGACGGTTACCTTCGCTGTTCTAATTTTGCTCGTCTCCAGTGGGCCTGGTTGTGATATACACTGGTCCTTTCACAGAGTCACAAGTTATTTAGCCCCTCATTAAATCCTGAGTCACAAACGCTCTAACAACTTAAAATAAACACAAGTCATAAGAGATGGTTGTCAAACAGTTAAGGGTCTCCAACATTGGGTAAACAGGGGTCTCCAAACCAGGTATAAGGGTCCTAAAAGACAGGTTACGGAGGTCATCCAAACCAGTTTGGGGCCAACGGGTTCAGTGGTCATCCACCAGAAACAGTGTCATCCAACCAGTGAACGGTCCACAAACGTAACAGGGCGCCTCCACCATTAACAGGGGAAACTAGGTCGGGGTCAAAACAAAAACTGTGGCACCCAAACCGGATAAAGACCATGGTGCTCAAAAATGGTCAAACAGGGTCTACAAAACAGTATAAACAAGGGGTCCTTTCCTAAAACAGGTTAAAGAGGGGGCCTCCAACAGTTGACGAAGGCAAAACCGGGTACGGTTCAACCTTCAGCTGGGTCTAAACTTTGTACGGTCCTCCATTTGGGCCTCACTTGTGTAAACAGGGTCCTTTCACAATCACAGTTAAAGCCCCAACATTAAACACTAAACGGTTCACAAAGGTCTCTAACAACAGTTACCAAAACAGTAAACAGAAGTCATCAAAGACTGGTTGGGATCCCCAAACCTTGTAAAAGGGGTCCTCCAAAACCAGGTTAACAGGGGTCCTCCAAAACCAGGTTAAATGTTCGGGGTCCTCCAAAACCTTGTTAAACAGGGGTCTCCAAAACCTGGGTTAAAGGGGGTCCTCCAAAACAGGTTAAACAGGGTATCCAAAACCAGGTTAAACAGGGGTCACCAAAACCAGGTTAAACAGGGGTCCACCAAAACCAGGTTAAACAGGGGTCCTCCAAAACCAGGTTAAACAGGGTCCTCCAAAACCAGGTTAAACAGGGGTCCTCCAAAACCAGGTTAAACAGGGGTCCTCCAAAACCAGGTTAAACAGGGGTCCTCCAAAACCAGGTTAAACAGAGGTCCTCCAAAACCAGGTTAAAGGGGTCCTCCAAAACCTTGTTAAACAGGGGTCCTCCAAAACCTTGTTATACAGGGGTCCTCCAAAACCTTGTTAAACAGGGGTCCTCCAAAACCTTGTTAACAGGGGTCCTCCAAAACCATGTTAAACAGGGGTCCTCCAAAACCTTGTTAAACAGGGGTCCTCCAAAACAGGTTAAACAGAGGTCATCCAAAACCAGGTTAAAGGGGTCCACCAAAACCAGGTTAAACAGGGGTCCTCCAAAACCAGGTTAAACAGGGTCCTCCAAAACCTGGGTTAAACAGGGGTCCTCCAAAACCAAGGTCATTGAAACAGGGGTCCTCCAAAACCTGTTAAACAGGGGTCCTCCAAAACCAGGTTAAACAGGGGTCCTCCAAAACAGGTTAAATAGGGGTATCCAAAACCAGGTTAAACAGGGGTCCCCAAAACCTGGTTAAACAGGGGTCCTCCAAAACCATTGTTATACAGAGGTCCTCCAAAACCATGGTTAAACAGGGGTCCTCCAAAACCTTGGTTAAACAGGGGTCCTCCAAAACCAGGTTAAACAGGGGTCCTCCAAAACCAGGTTAAACAGGGGTCCTCCAAAACCAGGTTAAACAGAGGTCCTCCAAAACCAGGTTAAACGGGGTCCTCCAAAACCTTGTTAAACAGGGGTCCTCCAAAACCTTGTTATACAGGGGTCCTCCAAAACCTTGTTAAACAGGGGTCCTCCAAAACCTTGTTATACAGGGGTCCTCCAAAACCTTGTTAAACAGGGGTCCTCCAAAACCTTGTTAAACAGGGGTCCTCCAAAACTAGGTTAAACAGGGGTCATCCAAAACCAGGTTAAACAGGGGTCCACCAAAACCAGGTTAAACAGGGGTCCTCCAAAACCAGGTTAAACAGGGGTCCTCCAAAACCAGGCTTAGGACATACATTACATAGAGATATTGGACCCAGACCAGAGCCGCACCATGTCTGGCGATGTACACATTATCTTCTATGAGGAGGGGGCAGCAGGCTAAAGTCGGCCACTTTACACACCGAGACCAGTTGGAAAGAAAACCAGGATAAACAGGGGTCCTCCAAGACCAGGTTTAGGACACACAACTACAGATTTGACCTGGACTGAAGCCTTACCCTGTCTGGCAGTGTACTCATTGTCCTCTATGAGACGGGCCAAGCCGAAGTCGGCCACTTTACACGCCAGGTTGTCCCCGACCAGGATGTTGGCAGCCCTGAGGTCTCTGTGGACGTAGTTCATTCTCTCTACATATGCCATCCCTGCTGCAATCTATACACACACAGAGACAGAGAGACAGAGAGAGAGAGAGAGAGAGAGAGAGAGAGAGAGAGAGAGAGAGAGAGAGAGAGAGAGAGAGAGAGAGAGAGAGAGAGAGCGAGAGAGAGAGACAGAGCAAGAGAGAGAGACAGAGAGAGAGAAAATGATGGTTTAAAATGAACAAAAGAGGAGAAAAACTTAAATTGACTGAAATAAGACCATTATGCCAAAGGTATTGAACATTGTAGCGTATGTCCCACCTGAGATGCCATATCCACTAACTGGGGTAGACGTAGCAACTTGCCCGTGTCACCTTTCAGGAAGTCTAACAGGCTACCTGTGGGAGCGACAGTGTTATCAGAATACTGAGAAAGAGAAGGCAGGAGAGAGGGAACACAAGGACAAGATGTGTGTGAGCATGCACATGTGAATGCCAGCCTGTACCACAGCCCATGTAGTCAGTGATGATGATGATGATGATGATGATGATGTTTGCGCTACTGTTACCTTGGCTCATGTACTCAGTGACGATGTAGATGGGTTCCTCAGACACCACGGCGTAGAGCTGCACCAGTTTCTCGTGTCTCAGCTTCTTCATGACCTGGGCTTCCTGGAGGAAGGCCTCTGGGGACATGGTGCCTGTCTTCAGGGTCTTGATAGCCACCCGCGTTGTACCGTTCCACGTCCCTGTGGAAACACAGTAGCCATGGGTCAGAGTCCCCTAGCCAACCAGAGGAGGGTTTCCCAATGGGTCAGAGTCCCCTAGCCAACCAGAGGAGGGTTTCCCAATGGGTCAGAGTCCCCTAGCCAACCAGAGGAGGGTTTCCCAATGGGTCAGAGTCCCCTAGCCAACCAGAGGAGGGTTTCCCAATGGGTCAGAGTCCCCTAGCCAACCAGAGGAGGGTTTCCCAATGGGTCAGAGTCCCCTAGCCAACCAGAGGAGGGTTTCCCAATGGGTCAGAGTCCCCTAGCCAACCAGAGGAGGGTTTCCCAATGGGTCAGAGTCCCCTAGCCAACCAGAGGAGGGTTTCCCCATGGGTCAGAGTCCCCTAGCCAACCAGAGGAGGGTTTCCCAATGGGTCAGAGTCCCCTAGCCAACCAGAGGAGGGTTTCCCAATGGGTCAGAGTCCCCTAGCCAACCAGAGGAGGGTTTCCCAATGGGTCAGAGTCCCCTAGCCAACCAGAGGAGGGTTTCCCAATGGGTCAGAGTCCCCTAGCCAACCAGAGGAGGGTTTCCCAATGGGTCAGAGTCCCCTAGCCAACCAGAGGAGGGTTTCCCAATGGGTCAGAGTCCCCTAGCCAACCAGAGGAGGGTTTCCCAATGGGTCAGAGTCCCCTAGCCAACCAGAGGAGGGTTTCCCAATGGGTCAGAGTCCCCTAGCCAACCAGAGGAGGGTTTCCCCATGGGTCAGAGTCCCCTAGCCAACCAGAGGAGGGTTTCCCAATGGGTCAGAGTCCCCTAGCCAACCAGAGGAGGGTTTCCCAATGGGTCAGAGACTCCTAGCCAACCAGAGGAGGGTTTCCCAATGGGTCAGAGTCCCCTAGCCAACCAGAGGAGGGTTTCCCAATGGGTCAGAGTCCCCTAGCCAACCAGAGGAGGGTTTCCCAATGGGTCAGAGTCCCCTAGCCAACCAGAGGAGGGTTTCCCAATGGGTCAGAGTCCCCTAGCCAACCAGAGGAGGGTTTCCCAATGCTTTCAAAGCTAAAGGAGTACATTATTTTTATCGTGACCCAGGACAGCCCATGGTACAGGCACACGTTTTCTGCCACAAGCAACTAAGCAGTCCTTATATGAAGTTATAGTTTAAATACATTTTGGAATAAAAGTGTCTGTTAAGACTATTTATTGTTCATATATACTTAAAAAAACAGTGTGTGTGTGTGTGGGTGTGTGGGTGTGTGTGTGTGTGTGTGTGTGGGTGTGTCTGTGTTTGTCTGTCTTACCCATCCAGACCTCTCCGAAGCAGCCCTGGCCCAGTTTGAGGTCGAGGTGGAGGGACTCCCGGGATATCTCCCAGGCGTCGCGGGCCAGGCCCTGGGTCTGAGGCTTCAGCACCGGACACACCTCTGTCAGACAGTGGCACAGCCCATCTGCATGCTCTGGGGTTAGGTACGGGGAGACAGAGAGAGGCATACGGTCACCACCTAGACAGTTAGCACTGTCCACCCTTGTTAACACTATCCACCTAGGCAGTTATTTAGGGTTTTCTGAGACATTGGCACATCTGACAGGTGTCAGAAATGTGTGTTCGATATTCTTATTGAGTTATTGAGCAATGTCTGTGTAGCCTGTATTCAGTTTCACTTTGATGTATTATCAATATGCTTGACAAAGACAGTGCATACCATGTAAGAAAAATGATATATTTCATATATACAGTGGGGTCTGAAATGATTGATAAAGATGAGCAGAAATGACTATAAAATAAATTATTCAAATACCGAGCTATATTGTACGCAAAAAAATTGGGAATTATATTATTTTATACAAATACAATTGATCAGAGAAAAATATTTTGTTTAACAAGTAAACAATACCTTTCAATACCTTTGCGAGGATAACAGCACTGAGCCTTTCTCTAAAAGAAACACATTGGGAGGGATCTTAGACCATTCCACTTCTGGATCCTTGATATCCTCCATCTGTGCTTAAGGACTGCCCTCTCCAATTCATAACCACAGGTTTTCAATGTGTTTCAAGTCCGGAGACAGATGGCCAATGCAATTTACACTAGTTGGAAACGGTTGTGAAAACAGAACGACTGAATTGCCCAAACCATGCCTTTGACTTTACACCATATATTACAGTACATTAACAAATAAACACCAAAACATTAACTTCAAGTTTGGTGTTACTCGCTGTATAATAGTCATGCTTGTAAGCAGCTATTAACATGTAAGGTGCTAATAACGTCCATAATGCGTTACTAACAGCGATAGTGGTAGACCAGCTGGTTACTCACTGCGATAGTAATAGACCAGCTGGTTACTCACGGCGATAGTGGTAGACCAGCTGGTTACTCACTGCGATAGTAATAGACCAGCTGGTTACTCACGGCGATAGTGGTAGACCAGCTGGTTACTCACTGCGATAGTAATAGACCAGCTGGTTACTCACGGCGATAGTGGTAGACCAGCTGGTTACTCACTGCGATAGTGGTAGACCAGCTGTTTACTCATTGCGATAGTAATAGACCAGCTGGTTACTCACTGCGATAGAGGTAGACCAGCTGGTTACTCACTGCAATAGTAATAGACCAGCTGGTTACTCACTGCGATAGAGGTAGACCAGCTGGTTACTCACTGCGATAGAGGTTGACCAGCTGGTTACTCACTGCGATAGAGGTAGACCAGCTGGTTACTCACTGCGATAGAGGTAGACCAGCTGGTTACTCACTGCGATAGAGGTAGACCAGCTGGTTACTCACTGCGGTAGTGGTAGACCAGCTGGTTACTCACTGTGGTAGTGGTAGACCAGCTGGTTACTCACTGCGATAGTAATAGACCAGCTGGTTACTCACTGTGGTAGTGGAAGACCAGCTGGTTACTCACTGCGATAGTAATAGACCAGCTGGTTACTCACTGCGATAGTAATAGACCAGCTGGTTACTCACTGCGATAGTAATAGACCAGCTGGTTACTCACTGTGGTAGTGGTAGACCAGCTGCTGTAGGCTGCTGAACTGGGTGCGTGAGGTGATGTAGAAGCCACCGCTGTCTAGCTTGCGTATCTTGTAGTGTTTGACGTTGAGACCTTTGGTGTTGTCGTAGTCCAACACGGACAGGCAGTAGGCTCCTGTGAATAAAAATAGAATAAAAAAATAATTAAGATACATTATCTGCAGCATCTCTATGCTCCTGTGTGTGTGGAATGAGAGATGTGTGGGTCAAAACAAGTTAACTTCAAGTTTGGATGGATCTCCTGGACTCAGCCTGTTCCTTCTAACAGTGGAAGTACATCTGTAGTAGTCATACTCCAATCAAGCCAGTTACGCATCTAGTGTTCCACACTACACACATCAGCATACTGTATGTTCACAGCATAAACTACACACTACACACATCAGCATACTGTATGTTCACAGCATAAACTACACACTACACACATCAGCATACTGTATGTTCACAGCATAAACTACACACTACACACATCAGCATACTGTATGTTCACAGCATAAACTACACACTACACCTCTATAGCCTGGAACCCTCAAACTCAACTCTGGACCTAGAAGCCAGTTTCACTGCATTTTTGTATTGTTCCCCTCTAATCAGGGAACCCCCCCCCCCCCCATCCCAACAAAGTGACTCTTCACCCATTTGGTGGGTTCATTCCGTGTTAAAAATGACTACTTCACAATAGAAAGGGGAAACATCAACAAGGAATTTGACAATCAAACACTCCACGTCTAAAATGTATGTCGCTCTCTCAGAGGTTCTTCTCACCCTTGGTGGTCTCACTCTCTCGGACCAGGAAGGTGCCTCGTCGGTTCTGTAAACTCAGAAGGAGCCTCTCTGAGTCGCGCCGAGTTATTTTCCCAAAATACCACCTGCAAAAGTGGGCCAGAGTGAGTAAGAAAGAACAGTGAGATCCTGCCACTGAGCAAAGGGACGTTGCACTCCAAAAGCATAGTTGGGTCACGTATTCAGACCTAAAAAAAGCGTAATGTCAATGAGTCCACGTCCCGTGGCATTGTGTCGATCCAGCTTTATAAGCACAGAATTCTGGGGGGAATTTATACAGTGCTTATCTTTTCAATATATTTTTGATTGTGGCATATTGCTGGATCTACAAAACAGATGGCCTGGGACATGGATTTATGTCATCAGAATGCCACTTTTGACAAACTGTGATTTTGGAGGGAAACTGTCCCTTTAATGTCCTTATGGAACACTACTTTTGCCCATTGAGACCCACTGAAGTACATCTGAGAATAGGGTATTTTACTATCCAGATGGGTTTGTCCATAATCATATATCTTAGAGAGAGTTTGGCCGATGTTATTAAAGCTGGACACCATGCTGCTTCTTCTAGGGTTGCAAAATTCCCAGGTTTTCTAGAAATCCTGGTTGGATTCAGATTTCCTGCTGATTCCAGGAATCTTCCAACTGACATTTCTGGAAAAACTGGGAATATTGGGAAAGTTACCAGCATTTTGCAACCCTAGCTCCATAATAATCAACATTTCATAACCCAACAAAAATAGGATAGATTGGGAGGAATTAACAAAAAGAAAAGTTGACGTTACTCTTCTGCTTGGATGGAGTCAGAGGGGGCCACATAGTTGCTGGGGATGTAACCGTTTTCTCCGGTAGTCAGAGACCGAGCCAGCCACCAGTCCCCTTCCCTGCAGCGAGACAGAGGAGAGGAGGTGGTGATGGTTATTGACTTGGACAACCAGAATTACCATGACATTCACAGGATAAAAAAAGATCAACCTCTCGACTAAATAATACATTTGAAAAAAAACAGGGAAACCAAGTGAAAACAATATGACACAATATATAAGCACAATCGTTTGGTTTGTTGTAGGTTGAGCTGACAAACATCACCTCAGTGCACACTGAGGAAAAACCGTGTTGAATGGAAAGAGGAAAAGTGGAGAGAAGTTAAGACAGGGGGATCAGAAAGGATTAGTTCACTGACCTGAAGCTGTACTTTCTCCTAAGAGAAACCATGAAGCGTGAGAGAGGGAAATAACAGACAGCAGAGAACATCAAATACACACAGAAAGAAATGCAGGAAACAGCAGAGCACACAAGATCAGACCATTGAACTAGTAGCAGCAACTAACGCTGGGTAAACACAGTGTGTGTGTGTGTGTGTGTGTGTGTGTGTGTGTGTGTGTGTGTGTGTGTGTGTGTGTGTGTGTGTGTGTGTGTGTGTGTGTGTGTGTGTGTGTGTGTGTGTGTGTGTGTGTGTTTGTGTGTAGGTATAAAACAGGTAGAGACCATCCTGCACCAAACTCCCACATGGCCTGACCTGAAATTTTAAATGTCTTCCTATAGTTTCTGATGAGTTATAAACTGTATTCCCGTAATACAACTCTGTTGTATCTGGGTATGACGTATTCTCTCCTGCTGCAATCAAAACACCCAGTCCGTCAGAGTGATGCTTTTGGAAAGGACAAACTTGAACTATTAGACCCAATCAACTGTAGAAGGGCTAGAATCAGGGTCGCGTTCATTAGGGCACCCAACAGAAAACATTTTTCAACAGCAGAAAATTGAAAAATGTGTGTTTCTTATTGGACAAGTCCTCCCTGTTTCAGTTTTGTTTTCTTTAGTTTGGTGCCTAATGAACATTGACCTGACAAGGTTGTCCTTGTAAGATCTGGAAGCATTAGTAGTAATGTTGTACACAGCAGATGGGGCGACAGAAAGGGGACAGACAGTGCTGTCTGGCTAACGAGGAATGATGAATAAGTCAGCACTCACTGTGACTGTGTGTTTGTACAGTGTGCATGCATGCGTGTCCACACTGTGTGTGTTTACAGAACAATGTGAGTGTTTGGGTTTGTCTATGTCTGGATGAGTGTGTTTCAGTGTGTGTGTCTAGGTGAGAGTACATGGTGGACATGTAGTATCTAAACAGGAAGACCATGGGAGTGGACATCTCCTTACGTGTTGTTGATGATCTGCAGCCGCTCGCCTTTCTTGAAGGTCAGGTCCGAGGCAGTCCGTGATTCATAGTCGTAGAGTGCCACAAACGTAGTTACACCTCCTACGGGACAGACACGCACACACACACACACACAGGCACACACACAATATTTTAGACATGGGAGAGTTTTGGGCTAGCATACAAGCAGCTGAGCAATGGCATCTCTCGAGGCAAAGTACAGTAGCCTCCATCATTCTTAAATGGAAGAAGTTTGGAACCACCAAGACTCTTCTTAGAGCTGGCCGCCCAGCCAAACTGAGCAATCGGGGTAGAAGGGCCTTGGTCAGGGAGTTGACCAAGAACCCAATGGTCGCTCTGAAAGCTCCAGAGTTCATCTGTGGAGATGGAAGAACCTTCAAGAAGGAAGGACAACCATCTCTGCAGCACTCCACCAATCAGGCCTTTATGGTAGAGTGGCCAGACGGAAGCCACTCCTCAGTAAAAGGCACATGACAGCCCGCTTGGAGTTTGCCAAAAGGCACCTAAAGGACTCTCAGACGATGAGAAACAAGATTCTCTGGTCTGATGAAACCAAGATTGAACTCTTTGGCCTGAATGCCAAGCGTCACGTCTGGAGGAAACCTGAATACTTTCTGAATTAACTGTACTAATTCATATAGAACTATATTCATATAGAACTGGGCATCAGTTTTTCCCTAAAAATACTTCTGTTGCCCCCGCTTACATATTTGTTGTCTCAATTCATTTCAATTTAATGTTTTGGCATTCACATCTTAGAATATTACATTGGTGCCTTTTGCACCCTGCCAAAAGAAAAACAACTAGGGGAAACGTTGAGCTGTGTAATCCAATTTAGCATCTCCCGCAAAGAGATATCGGCATTTACATTAGGGCTGCCTAATAGTCCTTGAAGGTCACAACATCTATAGCTTCTCAGCTATCCCTTTATAACGAGCACCTGGTTTAGACCGGGGAAACTCGGGCCAATCATTGATTGGTTAATTAGATGCCGGGGGGAAACACTAGCCAGTAGAAAATCCCAGAAATGAGAGGGCAACCAATCACTTTACAGGAGACGCAAAATAATGACTGACCATCTAGTCTAGACACACTATAGTTTCATGTCTGGTCTGTGAGAGTCTTCAAAGTCAAACTGGAGACGGGCTTGGCACTCCTGGAGACGGGCTTGGCACTCCTGGAGACGGGCTTGGTACTCTAAGCAGATTTTTGTGTCATACAACTTCCATGATCATGCTCTTTCCCATATTTATTGTAATTCAATATTCGCTGTCAACAGATGTTGCATATACACCAGTGGAGGCTGGTGGGAGGAGCTATAGGAGGACGGGCTCATTGTAATGGATGGAATGGAATAAATGGAACAGTCAAACGTGGTTTCCATATATTTTATGTGTTTGATACCGTTCCATTTACTCCATTCCACCATTACAATGAGCCTGTCCTCCTATAGCTCCTCCCACCAGCCTCCTCTGGTATACACCGGTTTCTGATGGAAAGGTACCCCTGATTGCCAGCACAAGGCAAACAGGTATGACTCTTCGGTTTCCTCTCCCTACCCTGCACCAAACGAAGTCGGTCCCAAAATGCACATTATATTGCAACTATAGCATCAAGCTAGGGGAAATAAATATGTGTTCACTAATTGTTGACAGCATACTCGTTTATAGTTATTTCCTCATCTCGTGGCTTGTCGGAGTGCACCAACTCATAAAAACTGGTTTGATAATAATATTACTGTATGTCATTTAGCAGAAACTTTCATCCAAAGCGACCTAAAGTAATGCGTTCATACATTATGTTATGTATAGGTGGCCCTGGGAATCAAAGCCACTATCCAGGCGTTGCAAGAGCCATTCTCTACCAACTTAGCTACAGAGGACCACACATAGCGAATCGGGTAGTTGGCCAGAAATCCTGGGTGCTCGGTGATACACCCCTGCATCCCCTCCTTGAAGTTGTTGCAGACTGCAGAACTTTTGCAGCACTTGCTTCCTTGCTCTGTGGCCATCAGACTGAGCACGTTTGAATGTAATCACATGGCTGTTCGATTGTGAGTCGATTACTTTAATTTTTAGCCAGCCAGCCAGATTATATACACTTCATGGTAATAGCCAAATGCAAAGCTTTACCATCATAGGCAATCACCATTGTGCTAGTAGCTAGTAGTTAAAACAAACCAACATTCACATATTTGGCATCATAGCTGATGTCAGGTGGTTGGGCACTGCAGTTAACTGCATGGCTAGCTAACTACATACCAATCGTCAGTAGGACCACTGTGTTGTAGCTGTATGTGTCCTATCATGACCTTGTTGAGGTCCTGGGTTTCTCCTCCTAGGCTTGTACCAGTGGAGGCTGCTGAGGGGAGGACGGCTCATAATAATGGCTGAAACGGAGCGAATGGAATGGCATCAAACACATGGAAACCATGGAAACCATGTATTTGATACCATTCCACTGACTCCGCTCCAGTCATTACCACGAGCCCGTCCTCCCCACCAGCCTCCTGTGGCTTGTGTATATATATAGCTGAACAACCCGGCTATTTATAATCTTGGTTGACCCAGAACTAAAATACTGCGCAATTTGGTCAGCTGAGTGATTTACACTGAACAAAAATATAAACGCAACATGAAACAATTTCAAAGATTTTAGTGAGTTACAGTTCATATAAGGAAATCAGTCAATTTAAATGAATTCATTAGGCCCTAATCTATGGATTTCACATAACTGGGAATACAGATATGCATATTTTGGTCACAGAAAAAAGTAGGGGCGTGGATCAGAAAACCAGTCAGTACTTGGTGTGACCACCATTTGCCTCATGCAGCGCGACACATCTCCTTCGCATAGAGTTGATCAGGCTGTTGATTTTGGCATGTGGAATGTTGTCCCACTCCTCTTCAATGGCTGTGCAAGGTTGCTGGATATTGGCGGGAACTGGAACACGCTGTCATGCACGTCAATCCAGAGCATCCCAAACAGGCTCAATGGGTGACATGTCTGGTGAGTATGCAGACCATAGAAGAACTGGGACATTTTCAGCCTCCAGGAATTGTGTACAGATCCTTGCGATATGGGCTGTGCATTACCATGCTGAAACATGAGGTGATGGCGGCGGATGAATGCGACGACAATGGTCCTCAGGATCTCGTCACGGTATCTAAGTGCATTCAAATTGCCATAGATAAAATGCAATTGTGTTAGTTGTCTGTAGCTTATACCTGCCCATACCCCACCACCAGGACCTCAGACAACGACCCTAAGCACACAGACAAGACAACGCAGGAGTGACTTCGTGACAAGTCTCTGAATGTCCTTGAGTGGCCCAGCCAGAGCCTGCACTTGAACACGATCTAACATCTCTGGAGAGACCTGAAAATAGTTGTGCAGCAACGCTCCCCATCCAACCTGACAGAGCTTGAGAGAATCTGCAGAGAAGAATGGGAGAAACTCCCCAAATACAGGTGTGCCAAGCTTGTAGCGTCATACCCAAGAAGACTCAGGGCTGTAATCGCTGCCAAAGGTGCCTCAACAAAGTACTGAATACTTATGTTAAATGTGATATTTCCGTTTTTTTTAATTTTAAAAACTAGCAACATTTCTAAAAACCTATTTTTGCTTTGTCATTATGGGGTATTGTGTGAAGATTGATAAGGAAGGCTGTAACCTAACAAAATGTGGAAAAAGTCAAGGGGTCTGAATACTTTCCGAAGGCACTGTATGTATATATATATTTATACAATATATACATATTTTTGTAAATATTAGTATATCTTTTCATGTGACAACACTGAAGAAATGACACTTTGCTACAATGTAAAGTAGTGAGTGTACAGCTTGTATAACAATGTGAATTTGTCCCCTCAAAATAACACAAAACACAGCCATTAATGTCTAAACCGCTGGCAACAAAAGTGAGTACACCCCTAAGTGAAAATGTCCAAATTGGGCCCAAAGTGTCAATATTTTGTGTGGCCACCATAATTTTCCAGCACTGCCTTAACCCTCTTGGGCATGGAGTTCACCAGAGCTTCACAGTTTGCCACTGGAGTCCTCTTCCACTCCTCCATGACGACATAACGGAGCTGGTGGATGTTAGAGACCTTGCACTCCTCCACCTTCCGTTTGAGGATGCCCCACAGATGCTCAATAGGGTTTAGGTCTGGAGACATGCTTGGCCAGTCCATCACCTTTACCCTCAGCTTCTTTAGCAAGGCAGTGGTCGTCTTGGAGGTGTGTTTGGGGTCGTTATCATGATGAAATACTGCCCTGCGACCCAGTCTCCGAAGGGAGGGGATCATGCTCTGCTTCAGTATGTCACAGTACATGTTGGCGTTTATGGTTCCCTCAATGAACTGTAGCTCCCCAGTGCCGGCAGCACTCATGCAGCCCCAGACCATGACACTCCCACCACCATGCTTGACTGTAGGCAAGACACACTTGTCTTTGTACTCCTCACCTGGTTGCCGCCACACACGCTTGACACCATCTGAACCAAATAAGTTTATCTTGGTCTCATCAGACCACAGGACATGGTTCCAGTAATCCATGTCCTTAGTCTGCTTGTCTTCAGCAAACTGTTTGCGGGCTTTCTTATGCATCATCTTTAGAAGAGGCTTCCTTCTGGGACGACAGCCATGCAGACCAATTTCATGCAGTGTGCGGCGTATGGTCTGAGCACTAACAGGCTGACCCACCACCCCTTCAACCTCTGCAGCAATGCTGGCAGCACTCATACGTCTATTTCCCAAAGACAACCTCTGGATATGACGCTGAACACGTGCACTCAACTTCTTTGGTCGACCATGGCGAGGCCTGTTCTGAGTGGAACCTGTCCTGTTAAACCGCTGTATGGTCTTGGCCACCGTGCTGCAGCTCAGTTTCAGGGTCTTGGCAATCTTCTTATAGCCCAGGCCATCTTTATGTAGAGCAACAATTTTTTTTTCTCAGGTCCTCAGAGAGTTCTTTGCCATGAGGTGCCATGTTGAACTTCCAGTGACCAGTATGAGGGAGTGTGAGAGCGATGACACCAAATTTAACACACCTGCTCCCCATTCACACCTGAGACCTTGTAACACTAACGAGTCACATGACACCGGGGAGGGAAAATGGCTAATAGGGCCCATTTTGGACATTTTCACTTAGGGGTGTACTCACTTTTGTTGCCAGAGGTTTAGACATTAATGGCTGTGTGTTGAGTTATTTTGAGGGGACAGCAACTTTACACTGTTATACAAGCTGTACACTCATTACTTTACATTGTAGCAAAGTGTCATTTCTTCAGTGTTGTCACATGAAAAGATATACTCAAATATTTACAAAAATGTGAGGGGTGTGTTCACTTTTGTGAGATACTGTGTATATATATACACACATATATACACACACACACAGTGGGGAGAACTTATACTTATGTCACGCAATAAAATGCAAATTAATTACTTAAAAATCATACAATGTGATTTTCTGGATTTTTGTTTTAGATTCCGTCTCTCACAGTTGAAGTGTACCTATGATAAAAATTACAGACCTCTACATGCTTTGTATGTAGGAAAACCTGCAAAATCGGCAGTGTATCAAATACTTGTTCTCCCCACTGTATATACACAGTGAGGGAAAAAAGTATTTGATTCCCTGCTGATTTTGTACGTTTGCCGACTGACAAAGAAATTATCAGTCTATCATTTTAATGGTAGGTTTATTTGAACAGTGAGATACAGAAAAATGCATGTAAAAAATGTTATAAATTGATTTGCATTTTAATGAGGGAAATAAGTATTTGACCCCCTCTCAATCAGAAAGTTTCTGGCTACCAGGTGTCTTTTATACAGGTAACGAGCTGAGATTAGGAGCACACTCTTAAAGGGAGTGCTCCTAATCTCAGTTTGTTACCTGTATAAAAGACACCTGTCCACAGAAGCAATCAATCAATCAGATTCCAAACTCTCCACCATGGCCAAGACCAAAGAGCTCTCCAAGGATGTCAGGGACAAGATTGTAGACCTACACAAGGCTGGAATGGGCTACAAGACCATTGCCAAGCAGCTTGGTGAGAAGGTGACAACAGTTGGTGCGATTATTCGCAAATGGAAGAAACACAAAAGACTTGTCAATCTCCCTCTTCCTGGGGCTCCATGCAAGATCTCACCTCGTGGAGTTGCAATGATCATGAGAACGGTGAGGAATCAGCCCAGAACTACACGGGAGGATCTTGTCAATGATCTCAGGGCAGCTGGGACCATAGTCACCAAGAAAACAATTGGTAACACACTACGCCGTGAAGGACTGAAATCCTGCAGCTCCTGCAAGGTCCCCCTGCTCAAGAAAGCACATATACAGGGCCGTCTGAAGTTTGCCAATGAACATCTGAATGATTCAGAGGAGAACTGGATGAAAGTGTTGTGGTCAGATGAGACCAAAATCGAGCTCTTTGGCATCAACTCAACTCGCCGTGTTTGGAGGAGGAGGAATGCTGCCTATGACCCCAAGAACACCATCCCCACCGTCAAACATGGAGGTGGAAACATTATGCTTTGGGGGTGTTTTTCTGCTAAGGGGACAGGACAACTTCACCGCATCAAAGGGACGATGGACGGGGCCATGTACCGTCAAATCTTGGGTGAGAACCTCCTTCCCTCAGCCAGGGCATTGAAAATGGGTCGTGGATGGGTATTCCAGCATGACAATGACCCAAAACACACGGCCAAGGCAACAAAGGAGTGGCTCAATAAGAAGCACATTAAGGTCCTGGAGTGGCCTAGCCAGTCTCCAGACCTTAATCCCATAGAAAATCTGTGGAGGGAGCTGAAGGTTCGAGTTGCCAAACGTCAGCCTCGAAACCTTAATGACTTGGAGAAGATCTCCCTTTAAGAGTGTGCTCCTAATCTCAGCTCGTTACCTGTATAAAAGACACCTGGGAGCCAAAAATCTTTCTGATTGAGAGGGGGTCAAATACTTATTTCCCTCATTAAAATGCAAATAAATTTTAACATTTTTTACATGCGTTTTTCTTGATTTTTTGTTGTTATTCTGTCTCTCACTGTTCAAATAAACCAACCATTAAAATTATAGACTGATCATTTCTTTGTCAGTGGGCAAACGTACAAAATCAGCAGGGGATCAAATACTTTTTTGCCCTCACTGTATATAAACTGGGTAGTTAGAGCTCTGAATGCTGATTGGCTGAAAGCCGTGGTATATCAGACCATATACCATGGGTATGACAAAAAAGTACTATTTACTGTTCTAATTACGATGGTAACCCGTTTATAATAGCAATAAGGCACCTCGGGGGTTTGTGGTATATGGCCAATATACCACGGCTAAGGGCTGAATCCAGGCACTCCGCGTTGCGTCGTGCGTAAAGGACAGCCCTTAGCCCGTATGAAAAATGACATTTTAGATCTTCCTCAAACAAAATCAATAGAAATAGGTACTGTACTTTGGGGGATGTATTTTTGGCATACACTTGAAATATGTATCCCAAATTATTATTGAGATGTAATTTAATAAAGAAATGTGAGACATCAAGTTTGTTTTACATAACATATTTCCATCTGAACTTTCTACAATGCTTTGCCCTGCTAAAGGCAGCCCATCTGAACATTCCACAACGTTTTCCCCTGCTGAAGGCATCCCATCTGAACGTTCCAAAACGTTTTCCCCTGCTGAAAGCAGCCCAAAAAGCATCCCATCTGAACGTTCCAAAAACGTTTTCCCCTGCTGAAAGCATCCCATCTGAACGTTCCAAAACATTTTTCCCTGCTGAAAGCAGCCCAAAAAGCAGCCCATCTGAATGTTCCAAAACGTTTTCCCCTGCTGAAAGCAGCCCATCTGAATGTTCCACAACGTTTTCCCCTGCTGAAAGCAGCCCATCTGAATGTTCCACAACGTTTTCCCCTGCCGAATGGAGCCTAGGCAGCGTTGGAACCTCCTGCTCCACCTACCTGCTAGTGGTCCTCTGTGAGGGGAGGTGATACTGCCCGTGTGGTCCACCCCGCCAAACAGTGCCAGCTCGGGGGTGTTGGTGGGAGCATGCCCGGGGTGGTGGCCGTGCCTGGCGCCCCCTACGGCGGGACTCCTGTTGGGGGTCTGGGTCTGCTGGACTGAGTTGAGGTGGTGGTGGTGGTGGTGCCCGCTGTCCGAGCCCGTGCTAATGGTGCCATCCAGACTCAGTGAGCGCTGGCCCGGCTCCTTGGGCTTACTCTTGCCCGCCCCCATCAGCAAGCCTGAGAAAAAAAAACAATGATTCAAATCTCAAATTGATTCATTTCAATCTGGCTCAATACAGTTCAGTCCTGTTTGATTCAATGCAATCACTCAAAGTCAATTCTATACAAACTCTGAATTGAATTCACTCAAGCTCGAGCTGGGTGAACGAAAAGCAGCCAACATGTGCTCAGTATATGTGGGAACTCCTTCAAGACTGTTGGAAAAGCATTCCAGGTAAAGCTGGTTGAGAGAATGCCAAGAGTGTGCAAAGCTGTCATCAAGGCAAATGGTGGCTACTTTGAAGAATCTAAAATATAAAATATATTTTGATTTGTTTAACACTTTTATGGTTACTAAATGATTCCATATGTGTTATTTCATAGTTTTGATGTCTTCACTATTATTCTACAATGTAGAAAATAGTACAAATAAAGAAAAACCCTTGAATGAGTAGGTGTGTCCAAACATTTGACTGGTACTGTATGTAAAAGTAATTGATGTTTGAAATAGTATTTGATCCCAGGTCTGGTTCTATATAATCCCTTGACCTACAACAGTAGATTCATTCAGCAGGGTGGTGTTCATTATAACCAAACGGAAGAAAACAGGCTGAAACACGGAGTGACTACCTGGTCCAATATGGCACACACATTTTCGTTTTCCATTGCAAAACATTTTAAAACGTAACCTTATGAACACGACCCTGCTATTGAGTCTCCATTCAGGGTCCATATATTGAGTTTCCTTGGAGATCTTCCAGTTTCAGTTGCTGGAGCAGCTTACAGTGGGGAATACAAGTATTTAGTCAGCCACCAATTGTGCAAGTTCTCCCACTTAAAAAGATGAGAGAGGCCTGTAATTTTTATCATAGGTACACGTCAACTATGACAGACAAAATGAGAAAATAAAATCCAGAAAATCACATTGTAGGATTTTTAATGAATTTATTTGCAAATTATGGTGGAAAATAAGTATTTGGTCAATAACAAAAGTTTCTCAATACTTTGTTATATACCCTTTGTTGGCAATGACACAGGTCAAACGTTTTCTGTAAGTCTTCACAAGGTTTTCACACACTGTTGCTGGTATTTTGGCCCATTCCTCCATGCAGATCTCCTCTAGAGCAGTGATGTTTTGGGGCTGTCGCTGGGCAACACAGACTTTCAACTCCCTCCAAAGATTTTCTATGGGGTTGAGATCTGGAGACTGGCTAGGCCACTCCAGGACCTTGAAATGCTTCTTACGAAGCCACTCCTTCGTTGCCCGGGCGGTGTGTTTGGGATCATTGTCATGCTGAAAGACCCAGCCACGTTTCATCTTCAATGCCCTTGCTGATGGAAGGAGGTTTTCACTCAAAATCTCACGATACATGGCCCCATTCATTCTTTCCTTTCCACGGATCAGTCGTCCTGGTCCCTTTGCAGAAAAACAGCCCCAAAGCATGATGTTTCCACCCCCATGCTTCACAGTAGGTATGGTGTTCTTTGGATGCAACTCAGCATTCTTTGTCCTCCAAACACGATGAGTTGAGTTTTTACCAAAAAGTTATATTTTGGTTTCATCTGACCATATGACATTCTCCCAATCCTCTTCTGGATCATCCAAATGCACTCTAGCAAAATTCAGACGGGCCTGGACATGTACTGGCTTAAGCAGGGGGACACGTCTGGCAATGCAGGATTTGAGTCCCTGGCGGCGTAGTGTGTTACTGATGGTAGGCTTTGTTACTTTGGTCCCAGCTCTCTGCAGGTCATTCACTAGGTCCCCCCGTGTGGTTCTGGGATTTTTGCTCACCGTTCTTGTGATCATTTTGACCCCACGGGGTGAGATCTTGCGTGGAGCCCCAGATCGAGGGAGATTATCAGTGGTCTTGTATGTCTTCCATTTCCTAATAATTGCTCCCACAGTTGATTTCTTCAAACCAAGCTGCTTACCTATTGCAGATTCAGTCTTCCCAGCCTGGTGCAGGTCTACAATTTTGTTTCTGGTGTCCTTTGACAGCTCTTTGGTCTTGGCCATAGTGGAGTTTGGAGTGTGACTGTTTGAGGTTGTGGACAGGTGTCTTTTATACTGATAACAAGTTCAAACAGGTGCCATTAATACAGGTAACGAGTGGAGGACAGAGGAGCCTCTTAAAGAAGAAGTTACAGGTCTGTTAGAGCCAGAAATCTTGCTTGTTTGTAGGTGACCAAATACTTATTTTCCACCATAATTTGCAAATAAATTCATTAAAAAGATCTACAATGTACACAAAATAAGACACGGTGTATGACAGCGCTGACCGGAAATTTGGCCTGGGCCGACATTGACAACAAGACTTTCATCATCAGCTGTAATTCTACAGTATTTGGTTTGTCACCCCAGCATTTCAAATTGAATCCTATTCTTACAGACTCTGTTACAATCATGGACACAAACACCAGTTAAATTCTTCCCTCTGTACAATAGAATGAGTCACAGTGAGGAAGCCTATTACAGGCTAGATGACACACACACACACTCACACACACACGGCTTGTTCCGTTGTGCACGGCAGTTAGTGTGTGTGAGCAGCTGTTCCTCTGTCCCTGAGAACAGAAGCTCTGACACACACACACCCCGTGTCTCTCACATCTCATTTCCAACACACTCACTGTGACTGTGTGTGTGTGTGTGTGTGTGTGTGTGTGTGTGTGTGTCTTATATCCTTGTGGGGACCTAAAATCTCCCAAATTTCCCCACAAGGACAGCAAAACAAGAACAATTCCCCATGAGGACAAAGGCTATTTTAAGTTTAGGGGTTAGGTTTAGGGTTATGGTTAGAATTAGGGTTAGGGTAAGGGGGTTAGGATTAGGAGTTAGGGTTTGGGTAATTTTGAATGGAAATTAATGTTAGGTCCTCACGAGGACAGAAGAACATAATGTGTGTGTGTGTGTGTTTGCGTGCAGACAGACAGACAGACAGACAGACCTGAGTGTGACTAACAGTGGGTGGGGAAGGAGCAGAGGAACTAGGAATAGCTGAAAAAGGACTAGAGAGGGTGGGAGGTGCTGCAGCATCTGGGGTTGAGGTTGTGTCTGGTGTGTATGTGTGAGTGTTGCTGCATTGTCCATGAGTGTGAAAGGACCTTGACACAGTCGGTGCAGGTGTTGTGCTTTCTAATACACCGAGTTTACAAAACATTAGGACATAGACTGACCAGGTGAATCCAGGTGAAAGCTATGATCCCTTATTGATGTAATCTGTTAAATCCACTTCCATCAGTGTAGATGGTTAAATAAATATTTTTAAGCCTTGAGACAATTGAGACATGGATTGTGTGTGTGTGCCATTCAGAGGGTGAATAGGCAAGACAAAAGATTTAAGTGCTTTTGAACGGGGTATGGTAGTAGGTGCCAGGTGCACCAGTTTGAGTGTGTCAAGAACTGCAATGCTGCTGGGTTTTTCACGCTCAACAGTTTCCTGTGTGTATCAAGAATGGTCCACCACCCAAAGGACATCCAGCCAACTTGATACAACTGCGGGAAGTATTGGAGTCAACATGGGCCAGCATCCCAGCGGAATGCTTTCGACACCTTGTAGAGTCCATGCCCTGACGAATTGAGTTTGTTCTGAGGGCAAAAGGGGGTGTAACTCAATATTAGGGAGGTGTACATCGTTTTGTGTGTATGTAAATCTGATGTGTGTGTGCTTCTGTGTGCATGAGCACTTTCAGAAGAAAATGAAAAGCAACCTGTGACTCTAAGTGGCTTTGGATAAAAGCGTCTGCTAAATGGAATATTATTATATTATATCAACTGTATGTACGTGTGTGTGGGTGCGTGCATATTAGGTCTGGGACAATACCAGGATCGCAATATTTTTTCCATGCAAAAATGAAAACACGAAGCAGACCAAACTCTTTAGAAACCTGCTGTATGTAACATATTGTGAGCTATAGCTTGGACCATAAATACATGTGACTCTGGATGACAACATAATGATGTTTGTTCCCAACATTAGGGCTGTTTTCCTAAAGAAGTTAAATCCGCTTCGTGTTGTTTCCTTGCCATGATACTAACGAGTATGGAGATCCTCATATTGCCCTGGCCCTAGCATGCATGTCTACTGTGTGGGCCTGAGTGTCTTTGATTCATCCGGAGACAGAATGAAAGCCAGCCCAGTGAGGGGGGTTAATGTCTCCCTCAGTTTCATGCTGCTTAGTCACACAGAGAGCGACCTGGGGGGGGTAGATGACGGCTCAATATTAGTGGGCGTTCGATGAGGCTGGCCAGAGCCTGGCCTATATTAGTACTCTCAGTATTGGACTGGCTGGTCTTGCTACTGTAAGTCACTGTGATTATGGGACCAGAGGGACTAAAAGGACAAAATACTGTACACATTCCTGGACAAAATGCCATCAGCTGGGGTCAAAAGTCTGTACCAATGTATTAGCTTAGCATAGTGGTAGCTAACTAGTTAAGATAGCTCAGCACATTGGCCGGACCTGGACCAAACAGCATCCAGGCCAAAAGCCTGTACCAATGTGTTAGCTTAGCATAATGGTAGCTAACTAGTTAAGATAGCTCAGCACATTGGCCGGGCCCTGGACCAAACAGCATCCAGGCCAAAAGCCTGTACCAATGTGTTAGCTTAGCATAGTGGTAGCTAACTAGTTAAGATAGCTCAGCACATTGGCCGGGCCCTGGACCAAACAGCATCCAGGCCAAAAGCCTGTACCAATGGACTAGAACGGTGGAAGTTTAGCTAGCTCAAGCAGTGACATCACCTTCCCTGACCTGGCTCGTTATGTTCAGTACAAAATGGGAGAAACCGTTTTGAAACAGGGAAATGCTCAATTTCAGTGTTTTTTGTGTTTCAAAAAGCTTATTTCCTGATGTTTTAGAAGTATACCAGTAGGCCAGTGGAGGCTGGTGGGAGGAGCTATAGGAGGACGGGCTCATTGTAATTGCTGGAATGGAATAAATGGAACGGAGTCCAACATGTGGTTTCCATATTTTGATGTGTTTGATACCGTTCCATTGATGCCATTCCAGC